GAAGGACCAGAGGGAGGAAGGAGGAGGAAGGAGGAAGGGAGGGGGAGGAGCGCCAGGGGTACTTACCTGGCTATGGTGGTAGCCATCTTCAGCACCTTGGTGGGCGCTGCAGCAGGGCGTCCCCAACAGGGGAGAGCTACATCAAGAAGCTTCAAGGCAGGGTTGGGGCATGGCGGCCTGAGCTAGCGCAGCCATAGCTGCTTTGGGTTGTCCTTTGGACGTCTGGGCAAGGCCTAGCATTCCGCCATAGCCTTGGCCTATGAGGTTGAAGAGTGGGAGAGGCGGCCATGGCTATGGTGGACCTTGAGTGATACCTGCAGTAGAAGAGGGACTCGGACATGATTCTGGACCAGTCATTCAACATTGTATTTATTATTTCTTGTATGAATAAGAGAAGGGGGAGATAAGGAGGAGGAGATTGTTGGGCGAAGAAGAAGAGCCTTGTCATTGTCTTTGCTGTTGTACACCTACTTCTTCTTCTTTCTTACTTCTTCTTCTTCTTCTACTCCTCTCTCTCCTCTCAAGTTCATTCATTTCTTTCTGCAATTGGATGGCATTGTACCTTCCAGTGGATGTGTATCTCGGAATTGGCCAGGGTCATAACACAGCAGCCACCTACAGTCTACAGACCTATCTGACCGTCCAAACAGCAAACATCTACGGGCAAACAGTCACAATCTGCCTGCATGCATCTAGCTGGAAACCTAGACTAAGGGAACCCAAGGCTAGGACACACAAAAGAAAGACCTACCGGCCTCTCAGTTTCCAGAAGAGCAGAAAAGGACAAAACAACAAGGCTGAAAGGCCTAAGACTACGAAGTAGAGACTACTAGCAACAGGTTCAAGGTTCAAGCCCAATGTTAAATGCTGCGCCTGCAAACGAGGGCCATTTTCAGGCCCTGGGTCGTTTCAGCCTGAAAGCCTGAAAACAAGGGCCTACAGGCCCTGTGTCGTTTCAGCCTAAAACAGGGCCCTCCAGGCCCTGAGTCTTTTCAGCCTGAAACGGAGGGCCATTTTCAGGCCCTCATAAGATCGACCTGCCCTGAAACTCAGGCACCAGACCAGGGTCTTAGCACAGGCCATTTCGGGCCTGTTTTCAAGACAACCTTAGTTTGAGCTTCAATGCCAGGGTCTGGCACGTTTTGACATTTGCAAGAGCAGCCTCCTGGACGGGCCAGCACTGTATAAGACTGGTCGCTCTGCAGGCTGCAGGTAGTTCATAGGGACTTCCCAGGCACTTCGCCTGGAGTTCAGGAGGCAGAAGGTAGTCTTCAGGATTCGGCAGCAGCACTCTGGAGGAGCGCTGCAGTAGTAGTAGTAACGTTAGCAGTAGTCTTCAGCGCTGAGCGCTAGTAGGAGCTAGAGTAGTACTGGAGAGAGAGAGAGA